CCGTCGCCGTCGCCGTCGCCCTCGCCGTCGCCCTCCTCGGGGCTGGCGGGGGCGTCCTCCGGCTTTTCCCCCGGCGACTTCCTCGGGCTCACGGGCCTACACGTCTCCTCCTTTCCGTCTGCGTCCCGAGGCGGCAGGGGGTCCACAGCTCCCGGGGCCTCCTCCTCGGTCCTGGCGGGGGAGGCCGAGGGGCTGCTTTTGTCTTCCAGGGTCTCCTTCTGCCCCTCCACCGTCGCCTGGTCATCGGGCTCCATGGGGGTCTCCGGGGGGGTGTACAGGTTCAGCTTAAACCCCGTCTTCCTTTCCTTGCTTGGCCTCCACTTAGACAGGCCACGCTTTGACCCTTTTGGCCACACTTGTTTGCACTTGAGAGGTTCAGGATTGTCTCTGCTGCCTTCTTTCAAGTTTTCTGCATCATCATCCATGTTGTCTTGTGGAGGAGAAAGAAGGGGAGGAAGAAAAACAAAGTCTTAGAAAACACAGTCACGGACGACCTGAACCCATTCCTCTAGTTAGTCAGCAAGCACGGCTTTCAACTTAGCATTTGAAGACTTGGTGGTAAAGATACAGTCAAGACTAATGTAGAATAATATTGTGGTATAAACTGGGTAGATCACCCGGGTCTGGGAATACAGTACACGCCACACACGCACACATGCACACACACACAACACACTCACTCTCACAACAGAAAGCTGTGCTTTTTAGAAAGCACATGGGTACAGGCAATTGCAATAAACTTTCCTGAATTTAACAAATAAGATATTCACTGATGCCCAGAATTCCACATTGTAAAAAAATCCACTCGAACGTTTACAAGTTAGGAAATACAGGGGAAGGGGGTTAATGCTAGCTCATATCCAAGTCACCAGTGTACCTTTAAGTGACTAGAAGCCTAACTCACATATCTATCCTGAGAAAGTGAACTTTGTTTTGTGGACAATTGCTGAATATAAATGATCTCAGATGACATTATTTACTTTGATTTGAATGTTCTCTCTGGCATAAAAATAAACTGTGTACCTCTGAAAGAAATGAGTAAATAACTAAACACATCTGTAATCTACTACAGGATCATCATTTTTGCATGACATAAACTATAATGTATTTACCATGACATTATTGAACATTTAAAACACAGGTATTCTTTTTATCACTAATTCTATCCAGACTGTATTTTGGATCAATTTGCTGCTCAAATGTGTGGTTTGAATACTAAAGTAAATAAGAAACAAACCGTAATTGTCAAGTTCATTTTGGTTCAGCTGATTTTTATTGTACCTGTATGCACATATGAATATAAATATGTAAGTATATTTTTATAGATATAAGCACACAAGAAAATATATGAATAAAGACACGTATAAACACCCAAGTTCTCTTAAGATCTCAGACAACTAAAGATCACGCTGATCTCCTGGAGGGTCAATGTAAAGAGAAATCTTTACGAAGAGAAATAGCCTTATTAGAAGAACAAACTTGGGAAGACTTATTTTGGGGAACAAAAATAAGATCTAATAATCAACTTGGAACAGAGATCCCCTTTGCTAGAAGGCAGTGATTTCTTTCCTTTTTTTAAAAATATGTCTTTATTGATTTCAGAGAGAGGAGGGGAGAGGGAAAGATAGAAACATCAGTGATGAGAGAGTCATTGATTGGCTGCCTCCTGCACGCCCCTGACTAGGGATGGAGCCTGCAACCTCAGCATGTGCCCCGACCAGGAATGGAACTGCGATCTCCTGGGATCATAGGTCAATGCTCAACTGCTGAGCCACGCCGGCCGGGCGAGGGAGTGATTTCTAATCCAATCAGTACAGAGCAGGGTGAGTTTTTAGTTCATTTACGTAATAAAAAAAATTACACATAAACTTACCTGCAAGTACTACACTCAAACTGGCTAGCTGAAGAGAACACAAATGCAGTGTGGATGGATCCTTCAGAAGCGCAAAGTACAATAACTAGTCAACAGACACCTTGAGACGTTCAAATGGTTTCATATCTATTCACATGGGCAGGTGACAGCCACGCCAGTGCCCTTGGACTCTCCATTCTTATTCCACGTGCTACTGGACCTACCAGCTCTTACAGAAAGACCTCTCTAAATTGGAAGATGGGTTTTCTCTTAATTATTTAAGAAAGAAATCAGGTGTAATTTGGCCACTTAGCATTTTTAAAGGCAAATAACACCAAGTGCAGAATGAAGTTAGTGACGATTTACTGAGAAGACAGCTGACACATGGTAATAAGGCTCAATTTCCACACAAAAGTGATTGCTTGCTGCAGCTTGCTGTGGTTGTTTATATGTTTGTTTGTTTGTTTGTTTAAAGAAACTAAAGAATAAGGCTTGGTTTCTCTATACCCAGGGTAAGATGTCATTCCCTCAGGATCCTATTAATTAATTGCTCATGTTCTGAGAACTGTGGCTTTTCAAAAGCGAGACTGACAACCTGTGGTGCCCAGGGAAGTGAGATGGCCTGTTCCCTAGATGGGAATAAAATAAGTTTTTTAATACAGTCACTTCAGCAGTAGAGCAGAGAGCCTGTCCCACAGACCCTCACAACTCAGCTGGGAGCACAAGTTCCCAGACGCACAGGCAAGGGATGGTTGCTTTTAAACAGGGCATCAAAGATGATCCAGAGGTGTTTTAGGTGCTTTTTCAGAGGATGGGGTGGAGTGTCCCTACCAGCAGCAACTGTCAAATAGTAATATAAAAGGAAGGACAGTTTCCTGATTTCAACATTATCCTGTATTATCAAAGCTAAAAATAGTGATGGTATGCATTTAGCTGATTCTTGATAAATATAACCTAAGACACCGATGATTATAAGATGCATCATCAACTTACTAATACTTGTTTTTCAGGAAAAAAGAAAGCTACTGCAGTCAATGCTCACATTGATAATTATACTCTGATTTCAGAAATACTAAATGTGGGGAAAAGTACATATTAGAATCAGAAAATGCAGTGTGTTTCTTTTTGACAGACTTCAGAGTTTTCGAGGACAAGCCAATTTCTGGAACATAAGATAAACCTCTCCTAGAGGAATGTCCTGGCCTTAGAAGTTGTTTAACATAAAACCCAATTCCAGGGAGAAGGGCTAGAACCTTTTATGAATGAGAAAGGACAGACGAGCACTTCTTTCTGGTGGGTCCACACATCCTCAGGATGCCCTTGGGCATGACTCCAGGTGCCTTTCGGGCAGTAATGTACAGATATTCACAAGGGTAAGGTTTTTATAATTCCTCCACTTACTTCTACAAGGGTCAGCATTCTTAAAGCAATGATTGTCTCTTCCTTCCTTTTCCTCTGTTTGTCTTTTCTTCCCAGGCTGATGTTGGAATGCTTTTCTCAGGACGGGCTTCCCGCCGTCTTCCTCCACTTCGATCTCACAGGTAGGCTCCAGCTGTGGCATTGGCCTCTCTTCATCTGAGTTGTCAAAGGGCTCATTCAGCACTTCTGTCGTCTCGGAAATGGTCTCAGTTGTTACACTGCTGTTGATCCGCCTGCGTTTACGACCCCTTTTCTTCTTTAGCACAAAAGGCCTCTGAAATTAATTCCAAACATAATGCACAGAGCTCATGAGAAATTAAATGGTTGAGTCGATATGCAGCAAACATGTACTGCACGTGAGTCTAAGAATCTTACACATAAAGACTTCTGTACCGCCTTTGTACTTAACCTTCCATTTGATGTTTAACATCCCTCTCGGGCTCCAGCTACACAGGCAAGTGTTTTCCAAATAAAACAGTTGTTTACTCAAGCAGGTGCTTTGAGAAGAGAACATCCTAGAAGCTTAACTGTAGATTTTAAAAGCTAAGGTTTGCTTTTCTAGCACGTATTTTCCAATAGTACTTGCTGGCTTCAATATCCTGTATATCACAGCTCCTAAGTCGTGGACACCGATGTCTATAAATGTTGCAACAATTAACTAGTTACTGATCACTCATTTAATGCTTGATAACTGCTCAAGGAGCACTGACTACATCCAAAGCACCCTAGGACATATGATGACGTACGAGACTAGCCTCCTTGTTACATTTCATAAGACTTCAGGAACAAGGAAAAGTGTGCTAAAGGAAAGGATTAAAATGTTAACAGTCATTTACTGGTGGCTGTAGGGATGTCAGCAACTGATAATTTTATAACTATTTTAACATAGAAGGCATCTAAAAAATAAAAGACGTGAGATGTCTTATTTATATAAGATATAAAAAAAAATTTTTAGTTGCACTAAAGATCAGCACAAATGGCTCCTCATAATTGCAATTATAAAACATATTTTCGAGCAAAAAGCATTTAATGATACAAAATTTAAAAATAGGAATAACAAAAAGATTTGCTGCTAAAATGTAAATCTGTCAATAATGGGCCCCAAATATATTGAGAATATATTGTAAAGAAAGGTTTTCAATATGCATGGTTAAAACTCAAACTCTAGGTAAACTGTGCCCAATAATTATTGTGTCTCACATTTTTAACTCTTTGAATGTTCACTAAAGTGCATATATAAGCCTGATAATCATATCCTATAACTTTACATTTATGGTTATTCATTTCCTAATTGGCCTGCCCTCCCTAGTCCACTGGATTTCCCCAAACATGAGTAGAGCTAATGCAAAGAGCTGGTTTTCCTCAGGTTGAGTCCATTTATATGATGGTAGCCCGTATCTATCATGCTTTGGATAATTCTGGTTTTTGATGTTTTTAAAACAAATTTTTTTGGTTATATACAAAACACATGAATATTTTCCTTGTAAGAAATCAAAACATTTTTCATAAGTCTGAAGTCCACTTTATGGGATGCTCCTTTCTACCACCTCCCCACAGCTGCTCTTCCACTAAAAGATCCCAGGCTTTGAAGAAAACACACTGAGCTGGGAGTTAGAACAGCAGGTTCTTTGACAACACCACACAGGATGGCCTTGGGCAGAGTCTTAACTTGTACTGTGCTATCTCTATTAGTTTTGGCTACGCTAACATTATCTGGCCCCTCTCTATGTCACAGATGGAGACTGAAGACAAAGATATCAGATCTGGGTTGAGCAGGTACCTAAAGACAAAACCAGTTTTTTACCTTCTGCACCAGGGGTACGTAGAGAAACCACCAGGCCACTAAGATATGAGAAGTTTCAGTAATGTGGACTTGGCCACAAACGCAAAATATCAGCATCCAAATGAATGGCCTTATATAGCTTCTAACAAGAAAAAGAAATAGCATCAGGAGTGCTGGGCTTGGAGTCTGAGCATTCACCTGGTCCTGGCTCCATCTCTAATGAGTTGTGTGACCTTGGACAAGTCTCCTGGCCTCTCGAGGCCTTGACATTTTCATCAAAAGTTGCTGAGGTGGTCTAAGTGCTGGCCAGGGCGCTTCTCTGCTCTCACCGCCTGACGTGCTCTAGTCCCACACGCCAGCAGGTGGCAGTAACTACGAGCCGAGAGAGCCAGCCCGCCCCTTTCCCGTCCCCGCGCTAACCAACCTCAAAGTAAACACAATCAGACGGCGAGATAAACGGAGACGATACATGATCGGCGGCCTGGACACAAATAAACTCCATCTAGAGGACGGAGAACGCAGCAAATGCTAACAGAACGTCTGCAGCGACAGGGTCTGAGGGAAACGGACGGCCGGGACTCCAAGCAGACGCTTACCTTTCTCTTTATGGCAACCGACTGCGGCTTAGTCAACCTGGGCGGAGAGCTCTGCACGTTTTCTTCCTCCTCCTCCTCCTCCTCTTCCTCCTCCTCCTCCTCCTCCTCCTCCTCCTCGTCCTCCTCCTCCTC